AATGAATAAAATAAAATAAAATTATTAATGTTTATAATAAATACTTAAAAAAAAATATTTTCATAGAACATTAATAACTAAATGAGTAAAAAATAATAAATAATCAACCCTTCCTTTTTAACATAATGGTTAAGCCAAGAACAAAACAAAAGAACCTGCAAAACAACATCTCATTGTGAAATGTTTTCAATGTATTGACCTGTATTGACAGAATGTGAATCAGTGGTGAGACCTTCACGTGTCCTGTAGTGTCTTTAATTACACTAGGAATTTGATCATAGGGCCCCAAACAGACTAAAATTTTTCAGATGACCCCTTTAAGTCAAACTTGACTTTCTCCAGATTTAAGAACATCATGAGGTCTTTGAGGAGTAAACACTGACTTCACTCCAACAATATTCACCTTGTTCATAATGATGCTGAGGCAACACTGTCCTTTTTTAACTTCCTAATTATTTAAAGACCTGGTACCACTCTGAGAATGTCCATTTCTGCACATGGTGTCAACACCACGTTTAAAGTGGAAGACTAGTTTGATGTCAGCCTGCTTCTGTCTGTGCTTTCTCTCTCTCTTCATTCCCATCACACCCTCGCTTTCTGTTTCTGTCAATCTTTCTTTTTTCGTCCTCTTCTTATATTTCTATCAATCCTCCAATCTCCCTCCCTCTCACATCATCTCCCCACCCTGTTTGTCTCAATGTCATCTATTGTCTCTTGAATATGATTCAGGTCACAGACGGTCTTCTCCGTCTCCGACTGCAACAGTTCTCCAGCCTCACAGAGACATCATTAGCTGACAACTGACATCAGTATTGGCTCTGGTATTGAGTGAGAGAAGAAGTGGTGCCATTATACCTGTGTGTGTGTGTGTGTGTGTATGTGTGTGTGTGTGTGTGTGTGTGTGTGTGTGTGTGTGTGTGTGAGTGAGAGATGAAGGGCCTGTGAGCTATGTCCCTATTACATGTCCAACGCCTGAGTACACACACACCTTCCTTAATTTCACACTTAGCTACCCTGCAATCTCCCAGCACTACAGCTCATTCAGGTCACACACACACACACACACACACACACACACACACCTGGTCATCACTCACGCTAACGTTACCTCCACGCTGTGCCACATACAGTACAGGTTTACTGCAGATTCTGTTGTCATGGTAACGACTGGACGGAGCGTAGAAGGCGCAGGGGAGTCAGACGAGAGAGATCAGATTTACACGAATAGTTAAACATGTTTACTTTGTTTTCTGAGAGTTATACAAGTCGATCAATATCCTCCATATGACTGTGTGTTAAGCACAGAGCAGATTTAAAGCCGTTTCTCACCAGCGTGGTGCAAAAATTCAGTGCGGGAATACGAAATACTGTAGTGAAGACAAATATGAGGATGAGCTATTCAGAGGTTTAGCACTATTTATTAAGAGGGGAAAGTAAGTGATTGTACAGCACAAGTTTTAACTCACGCTAATGGTTCAGCATTTGCCCTACTCTTAAGAGGAGTCACTGTGTTCTCACCTGTATCCATCTGCCAGACGTACACGGAGCCATCGGAGCATCCCACCACCAGGTAGTCGTCAGCCGGACGCCACTTGATGACCTGGATGGGGAAGAGGTGTCGCGACGCCAGCATGATGCACTTCCTCTCCCTGAGGCTGAGCAGGCCGACAGAGTGGTCGCTGGCCACTGAGCAGACGCAGTGCTGCACCCGAGTCTGATGAGAGGAGACGGAACAGGTTACAAAGATCATCCAAAGGGCTGAACATGAGGAGACGATGGTGACTGACTGATTAGAGGAGGACCAGATAGAACTCCTAGAATCTCCTTATTGAATCTGAATCCTTTCATTTATTTTAGGTGTAGCTGTCAAGAAATCTAAAGCCTCATGACTTTGGTGCCTTCCAGTGTTTAAAGGTTTCACTGACTAGTCAAGTAGTCAACTATTAAATCCTTGAATTATTACAAAGAAGAGACGCTCTTACGGATGTTTCTCCTGCAATTTTTTTGCTTCCAAAGCAGGGGTAGTTTTGCACAAGAGCCGTTTGTCACTACACTAAAAGTCCATATATGTCATTGGTTTTTCCACACAGAGAAATTAACTCTCTGCTGAGACTGAAGTCCAGTTCACACCGATGAATCGCAACGATTTTACAGCGTCGCAGAGAAAAGTAGCAGCGGTGTGAACTGACCGGTCTGAGCTTGACTCAATTCGGCTGATGGTGTCACCTGAGACTTAGCTGGTCAAATTGCCGGTGGCTGGTTTTAGAACGTAAAGCACGTCACCTGTTTCTACAGCCAATCAGCGTGTAGCAAGGTCCACTGGTCAAGTCAAAATGACCGAAGACGGCGTGTTTGCTGAGAGCAGCAGGTGCTCCATCGCCGAACCGTTTCTATCCTCACGGTGTGACCGTGTCAGACGGTGGGTCGCTATCTCACTATCACTATCCTCATTCATATTTTAAGATGCTACAAATAATATTCAGCCACAAAATAAGTCTGAAAAGCCGCAAATCAGAACAGAAGTACAGAGAGTTGTTGACTAGAGATGATACACCGTCTCATCTAGTTGCATTGGTGTGAACCAGCAGGTTTTTAGAGTGTTGCAGAACGGCACATTGCAAGTAGTCGCCTGTTTCAACTCGTCTCTTCGTGATTCTTTGGTCTGAACTGGGCTTCAAACTCACTGCAGATACTCAGTAAACCAGCTGTTTGCTGTAACAGGATACTGATGTAATGTGTGGCCTGGTGATAACTTCTCAGACAAAGAGACAAATTACTTTTGTCACACCTCAAAAACTTTAAAACTTACTTTAAGGTCTCAATGAACAGACTCCTACAGGAAATAATTAAATAATTAAAGCATGAGCTCATTGTAGTCAAGCTTCCAAAGCACAACGGCGTCTGACATCTCATTGCCATGGCAACAACACAGTTCTGACCATTTGATCTTAATGTCAGTTAAACAACAACATAATGTTTTTTTGTTTAAAGGGTAAATGTTTGTGTGTATGTGTGTGTGTGTGCATTCAACGGCCAGCCAACGCAATATCATTAAAATATTTCCCAACAGTGAAACCATCCCTGTAACATTTAAATCTAATGTCATCAACATCACTCTCTCTCAGTACACTCATCATTCACAGACACAACAACAAACAAACAAAGCAAAGGAATGGAGACAAAGGAAAACAAACAACCCCAGACTGAATAAAGAGGAGAAGAAAAAAACAAATCCCCAAACACATGAAGCGACATGTCAGAGGTCTTACGCTGCAGTTTTCAGGTGGGACGATGAGCTGGGTGATCTCTCCTCCGTGGACACAGAAAATGTGCTTCATCTCTCCGGTGAAAATGTCCCAGACGATGACGGAGAAGTCCACGCCCCCGGACACCAGCGAGCGCTGGTCATAGCGAGGGGAGATCTGGTACGGATACAGGACGCATGTCACCTTGTTCCGGTGACCTCGCAGGGTGCGATGGGGTGGCCAGCCTGCAGGAGGGAAGGACACGACACTCAGAATGGATGATTTTCATTTCATTCATTTTTTTAGGCTGTAAGGGAATACTCCACCCCCAAATGGCCATGTGCATATAAATTACTCACTACATCACTTTTTATTTATCAAGAAAACTTTTTTCTCACTTGCCTCCACAGTGAACATAGAATCCAAATACAGAGAAAATTCCCCATGAACTTAAGTCACAGGATACCCTGGATTTCCAGGAATCAAGGTCAAGGATCATAAGGACCTTTGTGATCTTGTCCATGATGCTGCAATGTGGTCTTGCTTCTTCTCATTTTCTATTTTACAAGATGTAAAGCATTTCACCTTTACCTATGATGTCCTGCCTGCTGTTACTGGTTTTGTCTGCTTTTGTTCTTTTTGTAAAATTCAATAAAAATAAAGTATATTTAAAAACATACAGGTATAATTTGGTAAAGAAGCTTCAGTTCAATGTCCCCGTGTCCCTCACCTCTCCTGAGCATGTGCTCCCCCTGCAGCAGCTGGACAATGGCGGTCTGTGTGGCAGGAACCAGGATGATGCTGCCGTCCTCTCTCCCGCACACGAGGCGACCCTGAGAGGGGATGTACACGCTGGCTGTGACCTGGGGGAACACAACACACACACACACACACACACACACACAGTCAGGCATCAGGATGGTAGAGCCTGAAGTCCGCGACATGAGAACACCATGACAAACTTTTCTTTTTTTAACTTTTATAAATACATAAAAATTTGAAGTGCATTGTTAAAGCAAAAAAAAAAAGCTGTTTGGCATTGGCAGAGAAGATCTGGCAAATTTTTCATGGGCGCATCCACATACTCAACTCTGCTGCTCATCCCATAAATGCATGTTCCGTACAAATGTGGCACCATTTAAAAGGGAAATAAACAGGCTTTCCAACGGTATAAGATTTATTGCCAAGAAGCATTGTTACAACAAAGAAATAATCTACCAAACACAAATTTCCTTTCTTTTTTTGTATGTATGTCAGACTTTAAAAATTCTAGCGCTCAAAAACCGGTAACTGCCGAATAACAGAGACCCTGCTGAATACACATGTGCGACATATTCAGATCTCAAACCTTAATGGGTCCGTCTTTTCCTGGCAGAGTACTGAGCTGGTCGATGATCCCTGCAGACACGGGGGTCAACTTATCAAACGCCTCCTGCAGACTGATGGTGGACGACACCTGCAGCTCTGCACAGAGACAGAGAGACACAGAGACACAGTCAAAACCAGAATGATGACTTTTTAATTTAGAGACCAGTCTAAAAAAAGGTCTGGAATAAAGATGTTTTTATGAAATAAAATATTAACGCAGAGAACAGAGGTGCAATGTCAGCCAATACATAAAGATCTGGGCGGCTTATCACCTCTGCAATGCCTGGGGGAAACCTTGATGTGGGTAATAAACAGAATGTACTATCATTCCTTATTGCATATTGGGAGCCTCTAACATTTGTCTTTTTGTTGTGGTTTGATTAAATCCATCCAGCCAAACATCCTTCATTAATAAAGTTTAATACAAGTCAGATCTAAGTGAAGTTTTTGTTGTTTGTTTGTTTGTTCTTGTTTTTTAAGCAATTTTGGTCTTAATGTTTGACCAGTTTTTAATATAAATATTTGGAACATCATTAGTATAAATTAACTGACAGTTTCACACCAATCTACTGCTACATATGTGTATATATGTAATTTTACTGCTGCTTCTTTTTGTATTGGTTGTCATGTAAACTGAAATATAGCAAAGATAAAATTAGCATCATTAAAAACATCTATAACATTGACTTTATCAGTGAGAAGGACTATGACACATTCTGGCCACTAGATGTCACTCTGCCTCTGTGTTTTATCACCATGTCTCAGGGAATTGACTTCTCTGCCTACATCCAACAAACACACTAACAGGTCATCTGAATATACACATTAAAATCACAATGTTCAGTAATAAGTCAGTGTTTAAAAGACTTGTGTTTTTTGTTTTAATCGTACGTACTGAAGTGTAACTTCCATGTTTTTTAACCTGGACCCTATTTTCCTATGTTGTTGTGTCTAAGTGGCGAATGAGAACAACAGTTTTTAAAAGTGGTCCAGCATTGAGCAAAACAGGTTGCAATTTAACCACTCAGGGCATGTTCACACCATCACTTTACATCTACTAAAAGTGCTTTACTTGCCACGGACAGGCTCAAATTATTTTAAGTGTCTGACAACTAGGGAGACACCGATCCGATATCTGGATCGAATATCAGCCCTGATATCATCAAAATAGATGGATCGGGTATCGGAAAATGCAACCTATACCTGAGGCGATCCTTTCCCTTTAAATCTATTGTGACGCGAGCTACGTCACACGTCATGGAGCGAAGGAGAGAATCTGCTGTGTGGAGGTATTTCACACTATTTCAACTGCTGCTGCACAATTGTTTATTTTTGTTAAACATAAATAGTTCATCGTTGCATTAATCTGTTTCATCTTGTTTCATTTTATCTTAGGAAAGATCTGTGAAGTCATCAATGCCTGATGCCTCTAGTCTTTTCTGTTCTACAGGTAAAGGTATATAGCTTTTTAGGTCAACCATGGTATCGGATCGGTATCAGATATTCAAAGCCACAGCATCGGGATCGGATCAACTGAAAAAGCTGTATCGGTGCATCTCTACTGACAACATTATGGGGAGGATCCAGGGGCGTACATATAGACAGTGCAGACAGTGCGATTGCACTGGGGCACTTGGGGTGGGGGGCCCAAAGAGAGAGTGGGCCCTCCAACAGTGTGTTGGGTGGAGCATGGGCTCTTATGAGTGATTGCCACCTTGGAAATATGCCTGTGTTCAAAGAAGAATTCTCATTAAATTAAAAACGGTACCATTTTTTCATCTGTAACAAAATTATATGCTTTTTCATTAACTATATATCGTCTATTCTATACATCAACAACTCTATAAATAAAAATAAACTATTAAAAATGTTAAATTACATTAATAATTTCTTAATATCTCTTGTATTTTTTGTTATATACAGATATGAAATGATGATAGCTGGGTAATAAGTGCGTTGATGTTATCCGATGTCAAGTCTCTGATCATGTGACGAGATATGTGCATGATAGCGTGCACTAGGGCCCGTCTGCACTGTGTCCCATTGTAACTACTTCACGCCACTGAAAGGATCCCTACAGGGATAGACATTTTGGTTTAAGAGTAAGATTCCTTTGGTTTAACCAGAAACAGCCCCGAAATCACCATCACCAAACCCACCAGACTCCATTTAAATAATCAGTAATTTAAGTGTGTATAGAGGCAGCATGTTTTCACATCCAACTGGGTGAATTAAGGGTTAATTTCAACCAAACCAGAGTTGGCGAATGATGTAACAGTGAAAAAAACAAACCAAGATGGCCTCATTGAGTTTCATCTTGTTTCTGTCTACTGTAAAGGACGTGTGTTTTCTGATGATAAAATTACTGTTAATTTAAATGGAGTCTGGTGGGTTTTTTCCTGCTCTTTTGAACAAACACCAGTGAATCTGCATATTTTCGTCGCTCATCCAGACCTACAGAGGAGCAGCTTTTCTCTGGGGAAATAACTGTGTCATGTCAGTAATGTCATCCTGACCTGCAGCGGTCGACAGCGGCTGCAGAGGCGAAGTGTCTGGGATGCTCCACAGGGACAGTCTGCCCGCTGAGTCTCCCTGGATCAGCAGCTTATGGAAGGGCTCCCGTCGGCCGAAGAAGAAGTGAGTCACGGGAGGACAGATCAGGAGCTAGAGGATGGTGTGGAACAAGAAGGACATGTCAACATCTGAAAACCTGAGGCCCCCAATTCTCCCCAGTAACACCTGGATGTGTCATGTCTGGGGGAGTTATAGCCCAAAATTCATCAGCGCACATTCTCAGTAACTCCCTTAAAGACTTAATAAAACTATTTATGTTGTCATGCCATATTAACTCTAAGACTGAGGGTGTGAAGGTGAAATGTTTGGTTTTGCTCTCTGGTTGCCTTCATACAAACAGCAACAACGCAGCAAACGGCAGGAAAACAAAACCAGGGCAGGTTTTTGTCTCATTACCAGCCATGACAATATGCGTCAATTTAACTGTTTCGTACACCAGCTTGGCTCACAAGGTTTCCTGTCCAGAAACTTCCTACAAACATGGTATTTCACCCAGGGGCACCACGTTACATCCTGTTTCACACAGAATGTTGTGTGCCTGATGTTGATTCTCATCAGCTCGCGTTGGGTGGTCTCATCACTTTCTGGATAAGCTAGCAAAACCGCAACCTAAGAAGTTATTCATAAACCTAATCATTGCCATAACCCTGAGATTTAACCAACAAGAGTCCTCTCGCCTAACTGTAACTTAAACCAGAGATGATATTTTATTCATGATCATTGATTTATGAAGACACACTTTAAATTTTGCTCCTTGCACTGCTGATACGATTGCAACCGCATCTAGACTTCTTTGCAGACAATATGTACAACTTAACAGTACTAAAATACTGACATTTAGATGAGGCACCTTGGAGTTCAAGCAAATGTGGAAGAAGAAAGTGTAAGCAGGATGGTGGGTCTGAAACCGCAGGGAGCATGGATAAAGTAGGAAACTGCAGAGCAGCGGAGGGTCACATGGGATAACATCCAGTGGCCAGACTACTTACGCGTCCAATTTCTGATCCAGGCTGTGTGCAACGGCCTACCAAGCCCGGCAAATCTCCACAACCGTGGCAAGAGCGAAACACAATCTTGTGCTCTGTGCTCAGGAAGAGGATCTCTTGAACACTTCTTAAGTAACTGCCCAAGGGCCCTTGCAGAGGGCCACTACCACTAGCGGCATGATCAAGTGCTGAAAGCAGTTGCAGAGATGGTAGCCTCAGCCTGCAAACACCATCGCCCAACGACAATCATCATCTTTGTCAAGGCTGGAGAGAAACACATCCCACAACCAAGATCAGCAACTGGCCTACTTGCTTCAGCCTCCAACAAAACTGAGAGTTGATCTCGGCAAGCAGCTGCAGTTTCCAGAACACATCGCCTCAACAACCCTCCATCCAGACAAGGTCATTTTTTTCTGATTCCATCAAACAAGTGATCACGGTAGAGCTCACTGTACCCTGGGAGGAGCGTACGGACAAAGCCCAAGACGTTTCAAGCACCAGGAGCTGATGGCACAATGCAGCAGGCAGGATTGGAATACCGCGGTGAGCCTGTCAAGGTGGGATGTTGGGGCTTTGCAGACCAGTCACTCTGCAGAGTCTTCACAAAGCTGGGGATAGTGGGGCTGGCAAAGAAAAGGGCCTTCAAATCTATCATCAGTGCCACAGAGAGAGCTACTAGGTGGCTCTGGCTGAGGAGGGAGGTCCATGGTCAACTGCTGCTGGGATGCAAGCCGGGGACTGATCACCTCCGGCTGGGTCACCTGGGTGAGGGTGTCTGATATTTGAAAAGACCCGAAACACCCGACAATCCCAGGATACATCACTGACGACAAGGCAAGCACTGCTGCGTCCTGAAAAACCCCCTTCATCCAGATGAAATACCAAGTTTTTAGGGAGTCCCTTCATGCCCAAGTGGGTGCAGGTTTTTGCTTCAGCTATGTCCTGGTGCCTTCTGGATCCAGTCAAAAATCTGACGTGTTGCAGCTCATTGACTTTGGACCTTCTTGATAAAACTGACCTAAAACTACTGCTGGAAATATAAACACAGTAATTCAGTATAACTTTGTTCACACTTTAAACTGCAACTTGATCAGTTCAGAGGTTACTGGGGAAATAATAGAGGAGAAGGGAAGAGGGCAGCATTGCTTTTTAGACATATAAAGGGACAATCCACCCCAAAACAGAACTAGTTATGTTGTTCCCATGCCCATATCCTGTGAGAAGTCTTTATCGTGAATGATAATCTAAACTTTGAAAATAAGAATTTAAATTCTTCACAGAAGGGAACAAAATGTTAAGATATAGGCCTTCCGTTTTTCTTAAATAAGTTTCTTACACCCCTTAAAACCAAGAAGGCCTTGTGACCCCCCATGAAGCTTTGGTAGCCCCTGACGGGGATCAGAAAACCAGTTGGGAACCAGTGGCTTAGTTCACTCGCCTATCAAACAGTGCATACACATCATAAGTCCTGCTGTTACCCATTTAATGGCGCCTTTCTGAAACATCCCAGTTTGTAAAATACGGTAAAACTCAAAGGACACACAAGAGGGGTTCTAAAAGTTTAGGATAGGGGGAGCGCCAGGTTACAGGTTGTTAATTCCTGCAGTGGGAAAGCACTTTAAGTTTGTTTGACCAAAACTGGTCTATCAGCTCAAACATTACACCTGGCAGTTCTGCTTCAGGGTGGACAACAAACAGAAGCTACACCTGAGTAGAGGGAGTCAGTTAGTTTGCAGTATCATGCTGAGGCAGGAGGTGATAACTTGTGGTTGACGCCCTAACTTTAATTCTGACAGCTCCACGGCTTCACACCTGTCAGGTTATGACACTGAAGGTACTGTGGCTACTGTCAAAAGGTTCAAGACAAACACTGATTTAGAGCCTTACTATGATGAATGGAACAAATTTAACCTCTTAGCTTGCATAATACACAGAGGACAGAGATCCTTTCTCCTATCAGAACACATTTTAGCAGGCACTGCTGCCAGGTGGAGGGAAGTGATAATGATGGACAGGATGAAAGCTCGTGATCCAGAGGGCGTGTAGGGAGGATGGGCTGCCATCACCACGGCCACTGCAAAATTTTAAGAGGTACAGAAGCAGGGAATGGCTGAATGTGTCCGGTATGTACCACCATCGGTTCATTCAGCTCATCTGAACGCTGTAGACAGTCACAGAGAGGATGCAAAGTGCCACCAAATGTTGTTTTTTAAACACACACATACACAGCACGCACAAACAAAAGACTGAACCACATCTTGGTATAAGATGTGAATGAATAAATCCAACATCAGTGAGTGTTTGGAGAAAACAGCACTAGAGAGGTAGAGAAAGACAGAGAGAGAATATCAACCCCTGGAGACGTGCAAGAACTTTTTGTGTTTGTTTTAATCAGCTCTGTGGTGCAGATGGTTGGGGGTTTCTTCTCATTGATCTGAACCGTATCTGGCAAAAGCTCTACACTTAAACTAGATGTGACAATACAAGGATGAAGTCCAACATGGTTGTAAACTGAGGATCTCACCACAAACGCACCGCACCAGAGTTCGTTTGTAACCGGACTGAGACCACCTCTTCAAGAAGGTCTTGGTCCGGTTGTTTTGGTGCACACCTTAGTGTGATTGCTGTGTTCATACCTGCCCAAATGAACCGCACTGAGAGGGCAAATGAACCTGAGTTTGATTGAACCGAACCAAACAGGGCAGGTGTGAAAGCACCCTAAAAAAACGAAAGAAACACAGCCATGACTCGCTAAATCACAACCAATTTAGTTGTTTGCTGGTCTTGGACAGTGGTCTGCAGCTTGATAGGTATAGTAACACACCATCAACCATCCCCTCCACCTCCCAATGATGAAATCAGCTTACATGTTACATCACTTTAGAAACGTTGATATAAAACAAGCAAATGTAGCATATTCAGGGTTTGGAGAAACGTACAATGCTAACATTTTCTTCTGGCAAATGGACTGGCATTTTGGTAGCGATTAAAGAAATGGCAAAGTAGACGCATTGAAAAAGGCCTCTATAAAATGTTTCTGGATGGAATTTGTCAGTTCAAAATGTACATTATCCCTAAATTATCAAAATAAGAAATGAACAGGGGGATGGGTTTAGTTTGGAGTAACAGCAAACACCATCACCAGCAAATCTAATGTAGAGCAGATCAGAAATCAGGGAAGCTATTTACTAAAACATGATCATAATAACTAGCAATAAAGGCCTGTCTGTTGACCTGAACTGCAGAGACCAAGGCCTTTATAATAAACTTTACCATTTGAGAAGTTTCTGTGAGTTAAATATAAATTACTTTAAACTGTTGTTCATCCAGAAATACTCTGGTCTGGTTGAAAAGGTCACATCTCAAAGAAAAAAGTGAGTTACTATAGATAATTGAGAAAACTACAGGAAAACCCCACCCACCTACAACTTACAGACAGATAAAACAAACACAAAAAAGTTTTTGCTAGCAGTTGTTGAATGACATGTGATCGCCACACACAGAAACACCATTTCCTTTTGTCCTATCTGTACCTGACACTGTATCGTTGCATCCCTGACTTGATATCTAAATATGAAGAAGATGCGTTCAACAGTTTGTGACTTTTCTTTACCTGATAAAATTTCTCCCTAAAGTATCCCTTTTATGCATCATTATCATTTATCCTTCGGACTAAAAAGTTTATATGCACAATGCCCTTCAAAAATAAGCAATCAAATTTAATCCAAAATGTTGAGGTATCCCTATCACTTCCTGTTGTGTATCTTTGGCTTGTCATAAACTCAGGGACTCAGCGGGTCATTATTTTTGTTAAAAAGCAGCTTGGGGACTTTGCATGCATCTTCATCAGTATGAAGACAGATGAGGAGGGTGATGGTGCTTTTGGAGGAGGAGTTTTGTTTTAGTGGGAAGAGAGCATGAAATCAGGTGAACCAGAATGAGTTCAGTGTCTTAGTCAGGCAGGAAGGAAACCAAAGAGAGGAGCAAACAAAACAGGCAGCTCCCTTTCAATGTCATCGACTCAGCAGCTCACACTTCTGTTCCAGCACTTTGAAAATGGGTCTGAGGGCTGATGGGTAACATCTATAAACATTTAGCAGAGGA